GGGCGGGCGCAGCCGGGCGCTTGGCAAGGCCATGGGCCACGGCAGAAGCCCCTCGCGAGCCCGGGGGGGGCAGGCCCGGCCTCCCCCCTGGGGGGAGAAGCCCCCGTCCGCTTCCCCGCGGCCGAGCCGCGCCTTTGCCGAGCTCCAGCCGATTTCCTCGTCGCCACCATCGAAAGCACCTGAACACGGGCAGCCACACACGGGGTCTCGTCGCTTGTTTATCCAAGCCTTTACGACGAAGAGGGAATGGGAGATGGGCACACTGAACTGCAAACTACAGAATCTAAAATGTGCTGGTTCTCCGATGAGCTCGAGTTCTGAACGGAAAACGGTGAAGAGAAACAGAAAGAGAAACACCCTCAAAGAAACCCACCTACTCCACGGGGTCCCAGCAGGCAACTCCAGAAACAAACAGGAAAGGGGAAACGAAGAGCCACAGAAACCCGAAGGGAACTACCGCACAGAAGCCCCTCTTCTTCCCAGCCTCCCCCCGACCCGAACAAACAGAAATTAAACAAGGCACAGAATCTTCTGCAAATGACTTCACTAAACTAAATCCAAGCTGGACTTGGCCAAAAAAAGAAAACCCAAACAAACTGAGGTGTCGAACAGCAGAGTGTACTTTACGAGGAATATTTTTACACAGCAATCCCGGACCCTCCCAGCCTCACGACTCTCCACCCATTTGCTTTTTTTTTTTCTTTAAAAAAAAAGACACAAGCTGGTTGCAACTTCCAATATCACTGTCTCTTGAGCGTTTAAATAGGGCCAGTAGTAACCGTCCACGGTTGGACACCTCATAGAAACCAAGGCTGCTCTAGATGAAGTACTCTTTCTTTTCCTCGGAGTTGTTCTGTCCTCCTTCTGCATTGATGATGGCTGTGTCTGCGTCGGCCGCATCATCTGCTCCTTTGGCTTCGTGGGTGAAGTATGTACCTGAAAGGGAAGCGGGAGGTTGCGCGACTCGTCAGCGCTCTCTGCGAGGTGCTGAGAGCAAGCCACGAAGCCGCGAGCGAAAGGGGAAAAAAAACCCGCAAACCATGAAAATACCCGTCTGGGGCGAGACCAAGTAACTCCAGCAAGGAGGCAGGCGGCCGCGAGCCGCAGCGGTGGCCCGGCGGGGACAGCCCGTGTCTGGGACAAACTGCCGCCCTCCCGTCCCAAGGCCCAGGCGCCCAGAACATCGGTGCCCTGCGCCAGCCTCCCTCCTTCCCCGTTCCAAAGGGCTCCGGGAGTCAATCTGCAGGGCAGCAGAGGGGTCCCCGCATCAGGCAGGACGGCACCGCGAGCAAGGGGACCCGCGTGCCACGTCCTCGCATTTTCTGGTTTTGGTCTTTGTCTTACCTTTATGTCTGGCAAAATATCGCCCTAAAATGATGAGCAGGCAAAGCATCGCAAACACGACCACGGCCACGACGCCACCAACCACCGCATGGTCCACGCTCCGTATTGCCCCTTCCTCACCTGCACGAGAATCTGTTGAGATCAGAAGAGGAATAAGAATTCGGGACTTATTACGAGGCTTGGTGAAGGGTCTGGCTGCAGCTGCTCTTGGGCCTGGAAAAGCCACCCCTGTGCTCTCCAAAGGCAGAGGGGTAAAGCACGGAGCTGTCGAGACAGATGAGTTCGGGCCGAGGAACTTTGTCCAGAGCCGAACTGATCTGGCAGCTCGACTCGCGAGGTGTTTTCCGCTACAAGCAGCAGCACTATGACTACGCACGTGGAAGACAGCTGGGAGAGGGAGAGGAGAGGTGGAGTTGGTGGTGGGGATGTATCTGGGGACATTTCCCTAGGAAGCTCCCCAGATTTCAACCTCCCGGGGGATGGGGGCACAGGGACCAGCAGTACAAAACGGGAATTGTTGGCTCTGCAGACAGGTCCTTAACACGTGCCCTGCTGAAAACATTTCAGCTCCCGCCCAAAAAACGTGACCAAAACCCACCCAACCCAGCACAACAAACGCCTTTACAACCCCCCGCTCCCCCGGCCCAGCCAGACGACATCATTCACCACAACCTTTGTCGTCCAGTGCAGTCCACGACGTCCGGAGACACGAAACTCCTCACCCAAACTATAAAAACCTCTTCAAAAGCAGAGAGCGAGCAATAATTGTACAGTGCCTGCAACTGCTTTATTTCATTTCGTTAACTCCTCACCATGCCATCAGCTCTCTTTTATAAGCGCCTCTCCCTTAGGACGCCGTCACCCGGGAGAGGAATGACTTATTTGGCGGAGGAACAACTCCGAAATGAACCCAGAATGAGCTATGGCCATGTAAAATGAATGTATAGCAGTGTAAACAATTTTAATTTAAGAACGCAGCTACATCAACCCTCACTGCAATCCTAATGGCAACCAAGATTTATAACGTAGTAAAAAACAATTATTCTCCCGTTGATTAATACATTAACATTTTGGAACAGAAGCTAAACCATTGTCTCTTTTTTTTATTGAGTCAAGCGCGACACCTCCATTAAAATGATTTACTGGCCATACCTTACAATTTAAGCACAGCAGCAACAGAAACGGTAAAAATCTTTTAACTTTACATGATTTGTGAAGTCATATGTGAAGGATTTACCATTTAAATCTTTCACTACAAGAAGCACATGGCCTATAAATCTGTCCTGCATGCAGTTGCCCAGACACCTAAGAGAAATGCATTTTACCAGGAAGACTGAGAGTGCAAATGCAAGTCAATTTTTAAGAAAGATTTATCTCCGTCTCCCTCCAAAGAACAGAGCAAATCTCTGAAGCCTCCACCTCTAATAATATTTGAAGTTTATCGATCAAGCGTACAGATCCGTGACAGCTAAAGGTAATGGTGCTCTTTTGAGCTGAAACCTGATACAAAGCTGGCGAGCAGCAGCCTGGGATTTACGCTTTCTATCGATATTTCCAATTCTGCTCCAAGATTAAGGACTGAGGGACCTAAGTAAATAAGTCGTGACTGAGAGCACCATAAAGTGTCTTTTAATTAAAACAATTTAAGAAAAAAACCCTTTTGAGTGTCTTGTCCTGTAACTTCCAAAAGCAGGAGCTCTGGCGCGGGCGGTGGGCGCTGGGGCTGACGCGGTTGGGGCGAGGGGCACGTTAAGGGCCACGAGGCAGAGCGGCCCCTCGGCATCACCATTGGCGAGTCCCTTCCAGCAGCTTCTCCCATCAGCCCCAAACCGGGGCCCAAAAACATTCCCCTGCAGAGCGAGAGCATCCGCTGCCGCATCACCTGCACCCCCGTCGCTCGCTGCGGGAAGAGCGTGCCCGAGAAATCCGAGAGCACGACGGAGGGAGGGAAATTTTGTGTCGTCTCCAGCAGGAACGGGCCGTATCATGGACGCTTCCCGGCGCCGGTGCTTTGGCAAGCGGCCGCCCATCCCTCTCGCCGATGGCAGCGCCGGGCCGGGCCGACCAG